AGGGTTGGCAACGATGGTAGGTATTTCTGTACAGGAAATACACTGTGTTGTTAGCCCAAACAGGAAATTGCTTTTCTGGCATATCTACCTACTTTGCTGTACTTGCAGGGTTTTTACTGTGATAGATGATGGGAAATATGCATGTATTACAGGTAGGTACTAAATATGTTTTTGCACTGACAGTTTTTTTTGTTTGTAATCACATTTTAAGGGGTCTATTTAAAACAATTTCCACAGCCATCCCCCTGTGAATCTCTGTGAATATTCTTTCTGTGCCTATGTAGTAAAAAGAAACTAACATTCTTAGTATATTTTATTTTCAGATCTAATGTAATTTCAGGTAAATACTACATTATGGAGCTGGTGATCATAGAAAATATGTATTTATTTCCTATGCTCCTCAGCTCCATCTAGTGGCCATAATATGGCATTTTGTGAATGTTAAAGGAGAACTATGAGATGAGTGATTTCCACTCACCTCATAGTTCTAGTCGACCTGTGACAATGAGACTGTCACAGGTCGGCTCAGTAGATCGGGAGGTGAGCGAACACATACCGGGTTCGCTCACCTCTCGATCCTGTCACGGCTCTCTGCCGTGACAGGGGGAGGGGCTGGATTCCCCTCTCCCCGCTCCGATCTGCCAGCGCTGACTGGCGGAACGGACGGGGAGGGGGCGGGTACAGCTGGCTCTGCCTCTAGATAGGCAGAGCCAGCTGTCACTCACGCAGCTGGGCGGATCCCGATGTCCATGTCTGTAGCTCGCGGTATACTGAGCTTAGGGTAACGGGAGGACGCTAGTTTGTGTCCTCCCGTTACCCTAAGGAGAACTATGGGGAGAAACACTGACCCCATAGTTCTCCTTTAAATACAACCTGAAAAGTAAATTTATCAAGAACATTTGTTTTTGTCTGTAATTGCACAGATTAAATGTTCACAGAGATTTGCAGGGCACATGGATTTGCAAATTGTTTATAAATACACTAAAGATTAATTAGGGATCTATTTACAAAATGTAATATTTTTAGTGTGCGATGTAGTGCCACCATACCTCCAATCTGTAGCTGAATGTATAAAAACAGGAAGTAGTACTTGTAGTACATTTCTCAAGGATGCATTTTCAGGAACAGAATCGATCCCAGGAGGACATTTTCCACTTTTTTCACATTCCCACTTACTCTTACTGGTTTGCAGAAGTTATTTTTTATTTCAATTTCACCTAGAGTTCAACTTTAACTGGGAACCACTGGTTATTTCTTCATTTTTAACAAGCTGTCCTTTATGCTGCTTTATTATTCATGCACCATATGCAGAAGAAAAATGACTATACATTATTCAATTGTTTCACCTAATCCATCGAGAAGCAATATCATTCTCGATGGAAAACAAATTGTTGTAGCAGAAATATTACAATTTTATTATTTCTTAGTGCTGTTTTGTGCTTCATTCCCTTGGTCATTTAGGCACAAAGTTTAATGTCATTTAAATGCATGTCAGTTTATTTCCGCAGAGATTCATACACTGTCTGTCAAACTTCTTGACACAATCTTCAGCTTTTGTCACAGTATATGAATCCCCCCGATGGATATAAAGGAAAATGTTGGCAGAGATGGTTTGCAAGGAAATTAAACTGTATAAATAATACTGGTTATATTAAAGCTGCATTATGAAAGGCACATACAATTCTGATGATGGCACAATTGTTAATATGCCTGTATAACTCAGTCAAATTAAAGATGCATATGGTTTCCAAATTAGATTCAGTCAACAGAACACTGTTTATTGTAGTCAAAGCCCTCGCCTGCGGAACATTCTTTCTAATTGTAATTTTACTAATAAATTTTCTGCAGAAGTGGAGAAAACTGATACAATGCCTGCAGTGGACAGCTAAAGTACATAAGACTAGTTGTGTATGTTACTGGCTACTGCAAAGGATCAATAAATTAGGAGTTTAAGTAGTGTGCCACAAATGTATATTAAAGTCCATCTCGGGGTAATGCTTAGAGCCCATCCCCCCACCCCATCACACATTTAGCCCTTTTAAAAAAAATAATAATAATTTAATTCACTATTTTTATATACACCTAAGCTCATTGGCCATGTTCGTCTGCTGACACATCCTGGCATCATCACCAATCTCTCCAGAACTGTAGTAGACCAGTTCTTTGTCAGCCACTGCGGTCTTCATAAGGACTTCACCACTAGATTGTATCTTTTAGGAAGTTTACATGTCACATAGGCAGTGACATTGACACTCGAGGAAGGACCCTTTTCCTTTGCAAGAAGGAAGAGTCGGGACCTGGCAAAACAATTTTTTTTCACATTTTAGGAATATAATTTTTGAGTTTGAAGCACAGTGCTATTTTCTTTCTTTTTTCCTATTTTGGGTGTACTCACCTATTAAGCACAGCTGCTCTTAGAGTGTAATTTGATTCCTAGCGCAGTTCTTTTCTATCTACTATTAAATTGCATATGAAAGCTTTCAGCAGATTTTGTGAAAACGGTCTAATATGTGGATTTGTGAAGCCAGACTAATGGAAATTGATTACAGTGTCAGCTATCTAGTAAAGTGATCACAGTAATTTTTAACAACCAATTTGTAGCATATTGTAACTGTTTAGTAAAGCTAGACCAGCTTTTCTTGGCATAATAAATCAACATGTTTTCCATATTTGCTTTTGGTCAGAGATGCACACTAGAACCTTAGTGCAAATCACCTTTGCTTTTTTCATTTTCTTCATGGCATTTGGTTTTCATCTTTCTTTGCTTACGTTGTTAGGGTGCCGTTCTCCTCAATCATCCAGTTTGATATCTGCTTTCATTGGCTTTATGGGAGGGAATAATATTTAGATATTTTTCTCATCTAGGTTCTACCATATAACAGAGTTCGTCTTAACTTTCCATACTCTTCTTGGGCCCTATTCCCTTTTCATTTTTGTGAAAATGTATAGGCCTTGTGTAAAATCCTTATTTCTTTCTGCAAATCTATTTAAAAATCAAATATCTTTAGATCTTAAAGAGTAATGCCCATAAACAAAGAATATAGCTTGAAAGTTAAAGCTAGCTTTACTTTTAGTGAGGTGACCCCTCACAATGGCCAAAAGCAGGAGTGCAGACCCAGGGACCAAAGAGCACAAGAAAAAAATATCCTGCTTATACTTCAGAGGACCCTCTAGGTAGTTTATGAAGGTAGGTGGTGTTTTGCAGGCAGAGATATAGTTTATTAAAGGTCAACTTTGCTTTTAGTGAAGTTGTCCTTAAATTAAGTCCTGTCAACCTTGAGTTTTTTTTACTCTCCTGTCTCGCTGGGCTACACAAAGCATTTGCCTTCAAAGCACCCTGTCTAGGTCCTCTGCTTGGTGTGCACACATGTCATGACTCAATTCATTTTCATTCAAGGTCTGTACTCATAGTGCACCCCAGCTATCCACCACAGTATGCACCATACATAAGAATAAATGGGGCTGTGGCGAGCTTGTGTGCCATGAAGAGGACACAGGAAGCATGTTTTTGATACAAAGGCTTTGCATTGCTGGGCAGGGACACACCCTGGAAAACGTAGGAGAGCAGAGAAGGTAAGTGTTTAACTATGAGGGCTACAAGATGGGGTTGGGAGTTTATTTAAAGGACAACTTTACAAAAAGTGAAATTGTCTTCCAATTAACAATATTTCTGTGCATGCAAAACATCACTTACCTGCCTAAATTATCTAGTGGGTCCTCTGAAGCAAACATGGTGGAATAAACATGATATTTATTATCTTGTGTGCTTCAGTTCCTGGGTTTGCATTCCTGAGGAGGTCCCTATTTTTTCAACTCTGCAAGGGTTGGCAGAAACACCCAAACCTCCCACCTAACCAGGAAAACAATCATGGCAGGGAGATTGCACTCTTAAAGTGTCAGCAACATATAAGAAGCCAGAGTCTGATACTAAAGACTTCAATTTTTGGTGAAGTAACCCTTTAATACATTCCAGTGATTTTTTTCTTCATTCCGGTGCTCTTTGAATATACAGGCAGAACTGTATGTTAATGTGAAAAAAAAAACCCAATAAAATCTTTGTAAAAGAATATATAGTCAGAACAAAGAATGAATATGTGCATCCTATAACAAAGAACAAGAAAAAAATCTATGATAATATTAATTTTATTAAACTGATATTGGATTGCTTGCTGTGAGGTACTGAACCTTATGCATCATACTTGTCTTTTCTTTACTTACTAAATAAGCTGGATAGTATGACTGCTATGGATTCCTGTACAGGTCACTAATTAGATACCAGCCGGTGGAAGTAGCTGTATAGTGTTCAGAGTTTGTGTGTTAATAACTGATCCCATGAACCCCATTGCAAACAATGTTCAATGATTATGAGACAATGAAAGACCAATGCAGAGAAATTGGTGAAAATATCTATTGGGGTTATACTTGTGAATTTGCTATACACATTAAACCATCTGATGCTAGATTATCAGTTTAGTGAATACCTTAAAAACCTTTTTACCTTGGTGAAAAAACTGACTTCTGCCCTCACACGGCAGTGCTCTATCCTAGCATAGCTGATTAACAGCCACAGTGTTCTCAAACAGACTTGTATGCAGCACTAGAAAGGGGCGTGTCCTACCAACTCTGCTACAGAGCTCTGAGATCATTGGGTCTAACTCTTGTGCCTATTGGACAGCACAGTAATAGTTAGACATCCTGCTGTAACAAGAAAGTGGTGGTAAAACTATAAAAATTATAAAGTTGTCTATCTGAATAACTATTTAATTAACAGAAATGCTCATGCTATATATTGATGTAAGTATTGTATATGACTGCATACCATTGGCTCTTCCTACACTCCCCTATTAGTAGTTTTCATTGACATTTTGTTCCTGTGCAGCAGTGTAGTCTACATATACAGTAATCTTACATTACAGGAAGCTAATTTAGTCGAACGTGGGCAGATTTTCATCTACAGTTTATTGTGTAATACCCAGCCACTTGGATTGACAAGAGATGTTAAACGAAATAATTTTTAATATGGGATATCAGTATCATGAAAAGAACTTTAAAGAAACACTTGAAAAAAGACGAAATTAAGAAGATAATCTTTTCTGGAAAATTCTGCAAGTGTGTATTTCATTGTTTAGTTGTACAAACAAATTTACAACAAGTACATAATAAATATATGTTTAAAACACTGATTTGTAAAGACAACAAATTAATTTATTTTGTATGTACAGAAAATGGAGCCTGCATTAAAGGTGAGGGTGTTTTAAGAAGAGTATTCATATTCTTCAGCACTACGACGACCAAAATCCATCCAGCCCATGTAATCTCTGTCATTTATCCGGTGGGTGGGATCAATGACGGGTCTGTTTGGCAGAACAGCATACCGTCCTGTAGAAGATCCTGCTACAAAGCAAAATATCGATCAGTCAATTAATAAAATAAATTACAAGTAAACATTACCTTTTTCTCCTGACTATCAATATATGTGACTGGCATAGCCTCTTCCAATAGTAGAGTGGGAAAGGGTTAAAACCCCTACCAGGTTAGTTTTTTGCTGTCTGTGTACCTTTGGGAAAATTTTCATTAATTTCCTTTGTGAGTGGCACAACAGGAATTTAGAAAAATCTCTCAAATTAAATATAATTTCCTTCTGAGATAGTTTTCCCCTGAACAAGTGTTCCCATTGGAAAATGTTCCCTCACCACTTGTTCTGGGTAAAACTTTAAAATGTTGGCTATCCCATCACTTTCTTTCTCAATGACAATGGTCCCCAGTACAAATAGAGGGGTGAATCTCCCAAATGCAAACAAGAAAGCAATAAATACTTGACGGAGTGTCTAACCTTTCCCCACTTTATCCAAAACAAAAAAAACAGATTTGTCTTGTCTGCTATTATCATAACTAAAGTATATCCTGAATACCTGCTCCCCCTATTGCACAAAATGGCTGCTCTCGCTGGCTTGTATGTTCTGTAGTGACAAATAAACCAGAAATAGGAGCTACAGCATTCTGCAGGATGAGCAGGCATTCACACACCTGGAAGTGTTGCCTGCTTGCAGGCTACCAGAAAATTAAGAATAGATGCCCTATTCTTAGATGGTTACATTTCCATTATGGGCCTGTTCATTTGGCAAAAGCTTTTCCTTTACTTATGATAAAAAAGTCATACATAAATTTTTTTTTTGTAACAAACTAGATTTTTTGCCAATATTGTCTCTAATAATTATTTTATTTTATATGTTATCTTAAAAAAAATATAAAAAAAGAAAGCACGGCTGTTCTTTGGAGATAAAAAAAAAACTCTTTACTATGCATTTGTTCTATTGGCAACACAAATGAAAAAGAAGAAACAAATGTTTAAAAAAAAGAAGAAAAAGTAAACAGAAAAATAATAGCTAAGCGAGGGGAAGGAATGAGTTATCAAGAGTGATACGGGTTAACTAAGGGTTAATACGAGGTTATACAGAAATACATTTTATTTAAAAAAATATTTTTTCTTTTTACTTTAATGTTTCTGATGACTGTTGTCATTTGCAAAGGTCACACCCTTGATATACATATGAATAATACAGTAAATATACTGCTACCTGGTATTTACCCAATTACACTTGCAGACTCAGCACATTTATTTCTACACAGGAGCAGCTGCATTTTGACAGCTGCTCCTGACAGTTTTTTTAGTATGTGTCTGCCATGCCTAAAATCCTAAAGTAGTTAATGTACCTGCAATAATCATTACAAAAAAATTACAAAAAATATACAAAAATAATCATTACAAAAAAATCAAGATTATACCTAAGTAAGGACAGTTGCATGATATTTGAAAACAATAGACACAATAGACAAAAAGCAAAGACAAGTGCAAGAAGAGCCTGTGTGAAAACTACATTGATAAATTCCATACCAAGTACTCAAGTAGCAAATGAATCAGACACAACAATGAAATAGCAAAATGAGTGTAAGGAAAAGAGGGAAAATAACCCCTCTTTCAGGAAAATTACCATGAAAGATCTTTTTTATACCCCTCCACCAAGGAAAAATGGAGATATAAATGTAAAAAACATGTAAAAAATTATTCTACACGCGGTACCTAGGTGAAGTTGATTTTTTGTTTTTTTCAGGTGAGAAGGGCATATGACCTGATATAAACATGATAGGAGCACATATGCTCCTGGCTCTGTCTGGCTGATCTCCTGGTTCCAGGCTCCGACTATTGTTTCCATTCATTCTGCACTCAGTGTTCCTTGACCTTGTTCAGCTGACTACCTGCTTTGGCATCTGACCTCTGGCTTGGCACTGACGATATTCTGGACTTTCTCCATTGTTTTTTGCTATTTATGTTTATTGATTTTTTTTTTTTTAAATCCTGCACTATAGTATCTGTCTGGTTTCTTGGTACTCTGACAATGGCATTATTAGAGGCTAAATTCTTCACAATTTCTGCAAAGATGGAATTGAGAATATCATGGCAAAACCAAGTTATCTTGGCAAAACCCTCCTCTTAAGCATTTGGTTAAAAACCCATCATGTACAAATGGCATCTACCTTCTCCTTTGAGAGAGGGTTTTTGTTAACATTTTTCTGTGGAGCAGTGCGTGAATACTCATTACCTGAACTTTGTTTTTCAGTGTGGTCTTAATGGCAGAAGGGACAGTGTACCATGTGTCTGTACTCAAGGCACATGTCTGGATGTCAGAATAGCCTGTACCTTGGAAAAGAGTGGGTATCAAAGAGGCTTAAGAGTGTAACACTGTAATTTGGGAAGAAACTATCCAGCACGTGTGAGTTTTTTAAGGTAGAACCCATGTGCTTTTTTTAAAAAGCAAGTGTTAGAGCAGAAGTTTGCAAGTTGTGGCTGCTCCCCATGGTTATTGTCCAAGGCATTTATTGAGAAACTGTCTCCTAGCAATGACAAAGTGAACCAAGAGTGAAAATTATGGGTGGACCGAAAGACTACTTGAACATCGTGAAGGATCCTTCCTCTGAAGGGCTCGGTTTGCTAAAGTAGTGGGGGCGGTGTGAGGGGCCAGTCATTACTGCAAAACCATATGCTGCTGCATTCTCAGGGGACCCTACTGTCAAATAGCGGTGCCTGGAGTGGCTTTACCTGGTTTTGAATATCAGAGGCAGTTTACAGTTGAAACAAACAAGCTAGCAAACTGTGCTTACATCTGTAAAGCTCAAAATTGTTGTCACCAGAGTCTCTAAGTATATTACTTGGTCTGTGTAGCTTATTCACAGTTTTAAGTAAATTTGTTTCCTTGGTGACTTGTCTATCCATATTCCTTGTCTGTGTAAGATTTGTTTTGCAGTGTTACACAAATTCACATGCCTATCATAATCCATACTGTTCATAAGATCTTGAAATATAATATTGAGCAAAGGCAAAATGGCAGACAAGCCTGCTGCATAGTGGCAGCCAAAGATAAAAGAGTTGCTTTTCTGGCAGCTGTATACATCCCTATGCCTCTACTACTAATTTAGGCAATGCCAAACACGAGATTCCCTGTATTTTAAATGAATTTGACATGCATAAATAAAATATGTTTTTTGCTGCATGCGCCTGCTGTTAATCCAGCATCTGATGTCGTATCTGGATGAAAAAAAAGTACAGCATCTGCTGTGTAAACCATCAGTAAAGAGCTCTGTTTTAAATTTTTTACTTTTACTGTTTGCATTAACTATGATGTGTTACATTTCCCTAATACCTATAGACACTTGTAAGTTGTACACCTTGTACAATATGTAGTTTTTTATTTAAAATGTAAGTCCAATTTTGTTGAGAAAAAAAACAATCCTCTCTGGGTGATCAATATGCACTACAAGGGTTTTAACAAACTCTGTTGCAGATTCCTACCTGTTTTTGTTTGGAAGGATAAAGCTGTTTGCTTCACCATATCCTTTCCAGACTGATTCCTGAATGAGAATTTCTGTAAAAAATAAGTCGAGGTAACTGAACTTGCTGTATTTTTCTTGAAGACATTTCACTGGTCATCCAATCAGCTTTCTCTAATCAGAAGGACTTGTACAAAAATTATCTGGAAATAAATATGGTGAATGTTGCTCCAACCCACATAATTGCAACCAAGTGTTGATTATTTGCATAATTGGAGCTAGGAGGTGTTAATAACCTGCCTAGAGAGAGATGTTAAAACAGCATTGTATGTGTCTTCAATAATACAGCAAGCTCAGTTGCCTTGACTTATTTTTTACAGGTATACCATGACCTGGATGAATGAGAACCTTCATAGACATAAATGGGAATGGTTCATTATAACCACCTAGTGCACATTTTTGCGGTCTGTGTCTGGATCTCTTTAGAAGTAATTAACCCTAATGAATTATCTCACTGAAAAGGAAATTTCTATTGTGGGAATGCATCACATTTTGCTTGTATCCAAATGCAAACTTCTTAAAAAACCTGAAAGACAATCACACTAGCAGGCAAATACATTTTTCGTACCTCAATGGTGTATAACCTTAAATAAAAAAATGGCCTTTGTAGCAATATTATATGCTTTATTATTCTTTTAACGAAAGTGACGTTTCAGAAGGGATCTATACCAGTTAGATAGACTGAGAAAATCCATCAGCCTTCTATACAGTTGATGACATTGGTCCCATATGTTATTTGCTGCTACAGCCAATGTAAGAAATAACACTACAATTATGTTATGGTCATTTACTGCAGCAGTAAATTGATGTAGTTGTAAAACTTATTTGTACATTCATTAGTTAAACATACTTTACTTTTATTTACAATTACTGATAGGCATTAATGATGTAGCCCATACCTAAAAGATGCATCCCGAGAGGGTAAACTGCAAAAATTGTGGGATCTCAGGGAAATTTTTTTTTTCTGTGATGATGTTGATGGTCACATGTCCTAGTCACATGTGCCAGAGTTCAAGGAAGTAAAGGGAGATGAATTAATCTGCCCTTAGTGAAAACGACCACCATGAGAAGAATGGAGAGGAAAAGAAAAATAAGGTATGTAAAGAATATAAAGCCGGCAATTATCTAGAAGTATCTGTTTGTAGATTGTCAGTATTTCTAAAGGTGTCTTTGTTGTAATTTTAAAGATAAGGATACAGTTTCTCTTTAATGCTATTGTTCACACCTGAGCGATCTGTTACACATTTCTAAAAGTGCTCTAGAAGTATTTTATGGGGCCTGTTTACATCTGAGAGATATGTAGCCGCTTGTCAGGCTACAAAAAGTACAGGCGCATCTTTGGGGCAGGATCCTGCATTTTTGGCACTAGAGACTTCCATGGTAACACCTGAAAATGTAAAAAATGCTCCAAAAACAAATTGCTCAAAGTATGAACCTAGGCTGTTTTGATGCTTAAAGTGTATCTATAGTGAACATTTTGTTTTTGAATAGGTTATAGGGAAGGA